TGCCTCTCCTGCCATGCCTTCGGGCCGTGAACAGGGCCGGGGCCGTGCGCATGCCAGGGCCTGTGAGATCACTGCCAGGGCCGTGCACATGCCTCGGGCCACGATTTTCGAACCTCCATCTTTGATGCCCCCCCCCTTGGACGCGACGCTCCCGAAGGACGTTCGGGCGATGCCAGCGCCCCCAGGAGACCCTCGATGTGGAGCCTGATCTGCTCTGAGCTGGCGTCGCCGATGCCATCCGATGCATCGCCGACGTCGCCGATGCATCGCAGATGCATCGCAGATGCGGCGCGGTCCTCCGACCCCATCTGCTCGGACCCCGGAGAAGGACGTTCGGGCTCTGCCAGCGCCCCCCCGGGAGTCGGGTTGACCCAAAAGGGGGCCCACCGACAAGGGGGTGGTGCAATAGATTTGGTGCAATAGCTTTGTGGGGTTGCAGTACATTCGGGGCGTGCAATACGTTTCGGGGCGCAGACGTATTGCGGTATTTTCGCGTGCAATGTACATCACTGGCGCTACACTGCAGTATCATTCTCCAGCGCAATTTACATTTGCAATACCCTTGCCCGAAACCTATGACTTATGGCACCACCCCCTCTCAGCTGGACCCCCTTTCGGGTCACCGAAGAGTTAAGTCGGGCCTGTCCCCCTACAGTGGGATTTTCGACGAAAAATGAAAAATACCCCAAAAATAGTCCAACAATAGTCCGAAAATAGTCTAGGGACTATTTTTTGGGGTATTTTTTGACCTTTCTGGAGCATTGTTGGGGTATTTTTCATTTTTCGTCGAAAATCCCCTTGTAGGGGACAGGCTCGACTTAACCCAAGAGCTGCCGAGCAGCGTTGGGGGGGGGCCGGGGACCTCTTGGGTGGCTGGCTGGGCGCCCCGCAGCGCGCGCGCGGTGGCGGCGCGCGCTCTTCGCCGGGACACCACGACGACGACGGCGACGACGACGGCGACGACCCTGACGACGACGAAGACGACGACGACGACGACGACGGTGGCGACGACGACGTCGACGGCGGCGACGACGACGATGACGACGACTACGACCACGACCACGACCACGACCACGACCACGACCACGACCACGACCGCGACCACGTCCGTCGACATCGTGGTTGACGTCGTCGCGAATGGTGCGGGTGCGGATGTGGGTCGGCGGGTGATCGGCGCGCGCGCGCGGCGGCCGCCGTCGGTGCGGTGGAGCCGCGGTTTCGAGAGGATGTCAGCGTGGCGGCGTCACCGTGGCAGTTGTGGGAAGAGGGAGGCTGGCGGGCAGAACGGCGAGGTCCCTGTGAGAGGCGGGTCAGGGAGCTCGTCGGAGATTCGGGCTGTGCGAGCTGGAGGAGCGTAGGAGGAGGAAGAGGAGGAGGAGGATGGTGATGATGATGATGAGGAGGAGGGGGAGGAGGAGGGGGAGGAGGAGGAGGAGGAGAAAGAGGAGCAGGACCAGGAGCAGGAGCCGGAGGAGAATGAGGAGGACCAGTGTAAACCCAAGACTCATCAACGATATTGTAATCAACCCTTCCTCCAAGGTCCCTCTTCATAGGCCCCAACGAGGATTCATTTCCACTGAGGGAAGTACCCCGTTGGGAGACAATCATTTGAAGATCATGACGCGTGCCCAAACACCATTCTCGGGACCCCGACGCCACGAATCAACCTGAGTGTTGCGCCTTGACGATCTTGAATCGTGCGAGAACACTGGTTCCGGGATTTCAACACCGCGAACCAACGTAATTCTTGTGCCTTGACAATCCTGAACCGTTCCAAGACGCAATTCTTGGTACGTTGACCATGGGAACCAGTGAAATTCGTGCTAATGTTTAAGGCGAATGTGCGCGGTGCTAGGGCGAGAGCCACATCTTGAAAAGGAACCGCCCACAAGCCGTGAAGCTTTTGCAATAGTTTTAAGGAGAATGTGCGTGGCGCTAAGGCGAGAGCCACATTGGAAAACGCCCGCCCTCAATCCGTGAAGCTCTTGCAAATGTTCACGACGAATGTGCGCGGCGCGAAAGCGAGAGCCACATTTTGAAAACGACCCGCCCTCCATCCGTGAAGCTCTGGCAAATATTTAGGACGAATGTGCGCGGCGCTACGGCGAGAGCCACATTTTGAAAGCCAGCCCCCCCTCCATCCGTGAAACTGCTGTCAATTCTTTAAGCTTCAGGATCAGAAATGGTGAGGAAGTCTCTGGCGAAACGCCTGGCCCGCCCTCTTGACCAGCATCGGAGTGCGACAGGGAGGAGTTATTGACAACATCGGAAAAGATGGAGGAGGAGGAGGAGGAGGAGGAGGAGAAGGAGGAGGAGGAGGAGGAGGAGGAGGAGGAGGAAGAGGCGGTGGAGGGGGGTGGGAGGAGAAGGAGGAGGAGGGGGAAGAGGAGGAGGAGGAGGACCAGTGTAAGCTCAAGAGTTGGAACAAGCCCTCCCCCCAAGCTCCCTCTTTCAAGGCCCTACGAGGATTCATTTCCACAGGGACCTGCCTCGTTGGAAGAGACCCGTTAGAAGACCCTGAAGCATGCCAAAACATTGTTTTCGGTATGCCAACGCCACGGATATACCTGACTGTTGCGTCTTGACGATCCCGAATCGTGCCAGAACGCCATTCCTGTGACTTCAACATCTTGAATCATCGTAACTGTTGCGCCCTCATAATCGTGAGTCCTTCTAAAACACCATGTTTGGTACGTCGATCATGGGAATCCGTGGAGCTCTCGTAATTTTTAAACCGACTGTGTGCGGCGCTAAGGCGAGAGCCACATTTTGAAAAGGAACCGCCTTCACCTGTGAGTGTCTTTCATTTTTTTGAGACGAGTGTGCGCGGCGCTAAGGCGAGAGCCACAGTCTGAAAACCACCAGCCCTCAATCCATGAAGCTCTTGCAATGTTTTCGAACGAGTATGCGCGGCGCTAAGGCGAGAGCCACATTTTGAAAGCCACCCGCCCTCACTTCATGAATCTCTTGCAATGTTTTTAAACTAGTGTGCGCGGCGCTAAGGCGAGAGCCACATTTTGAAAACGACCCGCCCTCCATCTGTGACGATGTTGCCAATGTTTAAACTTCAGGGTCACAAATGGTGAGGAAGTCTCGGGCGAATCGCCCGGCCCGCCCTAAAATCTGGCCTCGGGGTGCGACAGGGAGAAGTTATGTACAGAAGGAATGGAGGAGGAGGAGGAGGAGGAGGAGGAGGAGGAGGAGGAGGAGGAGGAGGAGGAGGAGGAGGAGGAGGAGGCGGAGGCGGAGGCGGAGGCGGAGGCGGAGGCGGAGGCGGAGGAGGCGAGGCGGGGGAGCGGAGGCGGAGGCGGAGGAGGAGGCGGGAGGAGGAGGAGGAGGAGGTGGAGGAGGAGGAGGAGGGGGAGGAGGAGGGGGAGGGAGGGAGGAGGAGGAACGGATCGGCTGTCCACGAAGGAGAGGTCAAGCCTCTTCTGCTGGGCGGGTTCTGAGCCCATTTGGGCCCAACAGCCGACAGGAGGAGGGGGAGGAGAAGGAGGAGGAGGAGGAGGAGGAGGAGGAGGAGGAGGAACTGTAGGAGGAGGAGGAGGAGCTGGAGGAGGAGGAGGAGGAGGAGGAGGAGGAGGGAGGGGGAGGAGGAGGAGGGAGGGGGAGGGGGAGCAGGAGGATGAGCAGCAACAGCAGCAGCATCAGCAGCGGCGGCGGCGGGGAGCAGCGCAGCGGCGGCGGCAGGCAGGCAGGCAGAGGGTACGGGCCTGCCAAGACGGACCGGGAGGGGCGGCCTGGGAGACCTGCTTGGAGGGGGCAGTTCAGATTCGAGCGACTATCAAAAACGGGTCTTACGTGATGTGGTATGCAGCGGAGGTGCATGCCACGAAGCACGCTGCTTGCCTCCAGGGTGCCCCGGGCCTCTTGGGCTTCGATGGCTCTGCCATGGAGGGCGTGACATCCCCACACCAAGCATCGATGGACGTCATGGGGTTCCAGGGTTGGGTTTCTTGTGGAGGGTTTCTTGTGGTCGGGCCACTGCTGTAGCGACCTTGCACGCCGCGGCTCGCGCGGGCCACCAGCGCGGCACGCCGCGCCGAAGACGAGGGTGCCCGCGCGCGGCCTTGCGCGCGGGCAGCTTGCGCGCGAGTGTCGGCCAAGACGGCGCCTTTTTGTTTTGCGCCGCCCACGGGCTGTCTTCACCAACACTGGCGCGCACGCTGCCCGCGTAAGGCCGCGCGTATAGGGGGCCACATGTGAACCCTACCCCTACCCCCCACGATTTTTGAGGGGAGGGTGGGGTTCACTTCGCTCGGGAGCTCCCGAACGAAGTGAACCCCACCCTCCCCCTTGGAAATCGTCGGGGGTAGGGGTAGGGTTCACATGTGGCCCCCTAGCGTAAGCGCGCTCTTCTTCACGCCGTGTGCCACGCTGGCTGCCAGCGGAAGCCACCGATTGAGGTCGCTGTGCCACTTCGCGCAACACCCGCGTCTGATCGACGCTCGGATGACTGAAGGCCCCCCCCGGGTATAGAGCCCCTTTCGATCCGATCGATCCGGTTCGATCTCGGATTTGACTGGCCCGATCCCGTTCGATTCCGATAATTCTGACGATGCGATGTGGCCCGATATGCTTGCACGGGCGCAGTCGTGCATCCCGGTGCTGCCGATCCGCTTTCGATTCCGTGCCGATGCAGCCCGATGCGACGCGCCTTCCGATCCCGATCCGCTATTCCCGAGTCGACGCTGCCTGATCCTGGAGCGTTGCCTGTCGAGGTCGGGGAGCGCTCGCAGGAAAAGGCCAGTCGATCACCACACCACCAAAACAACCCAACCCAACCCGAAGGCTCATATTTACCCTCGATTGCTAGTGGCGGGGAGGGTCCGGGAACATCGAAAAAGCACATATGGAGCCCATACCCCCCCCAAACCCGAAGTTCGGGTCTTCGGGTTGGGTTGGGGTGGTCTGGTAGGTAGGCAGTCGACCCGCGGGCGCGGGGGGACGCCGCTGGGTGCAGGCGGAGCCCCCGGCAGCTCGCGCGCTCGCGCGACGCACGCCCGCCGCTCGGGCCCGGCGCGCCCGCCGCCCCGCGGCGCGCGGGGCCTCGGGTCCGGGGCGGGGGCTGTGTCCAGGACCACTCTCTTGGCCTGGACGTGATCAGCGAGCGAAGAACGGTATAGCACAGACTTTTCCGCCGCCGGGGACACCTGCCCCTGGGCGGCTGGAAAGTTTATACCCCCACGGTGCCACCGTAAGGGTATAAACTTTCCAGCCGCCCTGGGATAGACGCCCCCGACTGCGAAACAGTTTATTTTATACCGTTCTTCGCCCGTTAACTTTCCCTTCCTCCGTTGATGCAAGCTGTGCGCGGCCCGCTCAGCGCTTCGACCGGAAGAGGCTCGCTCTCGACCCGCGAAGCAAGAAGTGTCCAGGACCACCGCCGGGGGGCTCGACCGTCGGGCAGCTCGGCGGGCGGCGGGCACGGATGTATGTATCCGGCCTCCCCTGGGGCCCACATGTCAGGAGGGAAAGAAACACACAGACACAATTAATCCTCCATCCCCCAGAAAATATGGGAAAACATGGGAAATGGTGGGGAAGACAAAAACCGAGAAAATATGGGAAAATATGGGGGATCCTTTTATTTGTGTGTATTTATTTGTGTGTCCCAGGGCCCCTTCAACATGTCCCTGCCCTTAAGTCGGGCGTGTCCCCCTCTACAGGGGGATTCTCGACGAAAAATGCAAAAGACCCCAAAACATAAGCAACAAAATGCTCCAAAAATAGTCTGGGGACTATTTTTTGATTTTTTTGGGGGGCCTTTTTGGGGTATTTTTTGGGTACTTTTAATTTCTCGTCGAAAACCCCCCTGTAGGGGGTAGGGGGACACGCCCGACTTAACCCTACCCGCCGCCCCCTCGGGTCCCCGGACGTCGGCTTCGCACCTGGCGTCCTGGCCCCACCGGCTGTGGGGATCAAGACAGGTGCGGTGCTGCGGATGTGGTGGGAGGGCGGGTGGAGGTGACAGAGGCAGCCGTCTTCCGGTGGTGGGTAGCTTGACCTCTCCCCATCCACTCGCCTGGATTTTGAAGGGGAGGGGTCTGGGAGGGGGGGAGGTAGAGGTTAGAGTGTACATTATGGCCCAATCTGGTTTCGGACGGTTTTCTAGATAGCTGAAGATAGCCCACAATGCCCTCCAACCAGATGGACTTCCCTCGGGATAGTTTTCCACCCCTGGTCCGTTTTGGTGTTTCGACATTGGGCGGAGACGAGGGGGGGGGTCCTGGCTCCAGACCTCTGCTTAATGCGTCTGTTTGCACCAGTGCGTCCTCATGTGTGAGAGCCCACCTGCTCAAAGCAGGCGCCAACAGACAGCCAAGACCTACTCTATAGGGTGGGGTGGGGTGGGGTGGGGAAAGGACCTCATCTTTTAGATATGCCTGGTAATGTAATAGTTGAGGTTGTCAGTGAGATTGCAGACCATTATGCGGTATGTGTAAGACTCGCGACTCCGCCTTTAGCTTTCGAGTGTCTGCCGCGGATGATGGACTTTTAGTCCGGCGAATTGGGGTCTTTTCAAAGCCCGCGCCGATCGGCAAAACAATGAATAACAAAACGATCACTTGTCGAAAGTCGCTCCGGCGGCGGCGGCGACACCGAGGGGGGGAGGAGGGGCAGGCAGGAGAGCGAGAAGGAGATCGACTACACGCTTGAAGTATCCCGTACAGGTGTTTTTCCGTATAGTGGCGTGCGCCGATTTTTTTGGGGGTGGCCTTGGGAACCGTCTACGCGCAGTTCCCTCGGGGGCTCGACGGGAAAAGTCAGTCCTTGGGGTCAGTCGGGCCTGTCCCTCTACAGGGGGGATCTTCAAAAAGATACTCTGGGGGCCATTTTTGAGTGTTGCGCATTTTTGGAATACGTTTCATTTTTTGTCCAAGACCCCCCTGTAGGGGGACACGCCCGATGTACACCTTAGGCGATGCTTAAGAAAACCTAATTTTTTCGTCCAGAGTCTCGATTATTCTTAACTTTTCAATGTAAATCCCAAGATTTTGATAGAAGTTCTGGGTTTTATTCAATTTCTGAGACTATGAATTTCTTAACCCATGATTTCTTAAGCATTTCGCAGGGTGTAATCCTTGGGCAAAGCGATCCTGACGCCGACCTCCTGCTCGAGCGGGGATGGGCAGGCACTGGGCGCAAAACGCGGGCCGCGCACCGCGGCCTGGACTGGCGGAGCCGCCCCGCTCCAGAGGGTGTCCTCCTCCTCGTCGCCCTCCTCCTCGTCGTCCTCCTCCTCCTCCTCGTCGTCCTCCTCCTCGTCGTTCTCCTCCTCCTCCTCCTCCTCCTCCTCCTCCTCCTCCTCCTCCTCCTCCTCCTCCTCCTCCTCCTCTGCGCGGACGGCCCGCCGCCTGGCGTGGCTCTCTCGCCGGCGGCGCGGCGTGCGGCGTCGGGCGGCTCCGGCCTTCCGGTGGGCCCCAGAGGCTTCCTCTGACCTCCGGGCCTCCCAGGGACTCGTTCGGACGCTGGCGGGTTCCCGAGGAGGCCTCGGGTTTCTCCCGAGGGGCTCCAGGGGGCTGCCCGAGGATCCCTTCCCGAGGATTCCTGGGGAGTCTCGAGGGCGTCTATCGGAGAAGGAACAACGCCATAAACTTAGACTTTTGGCGCTCTGCGCGGGTTTCTTGGATCCTCGCTGACCCCCCTGGCAGCGCCTCCAGCGCCGCCGTTGGCGCGCTTCGCGCGCCAGGGAGGGGGGTCCAGCGCAGATCCAAGAAATCCGCGCGGAGCGCCAAAAGTTTATGTTTATGACGTGCTTTCTTTTTCTATTCTAGGGATCCCTGACGGCCGCCGCCCAGCCGCTCACACGCGCCCCCGTGCAGGTCCACGAGCACGTCGGTGTCCCAGCTCGAGCAGCTGTTCCCGGACAGCCAGCGCGGGAGCAGAGACGACAAGACGCGGGCGCGCCCGCCCGCCGTCGCGCGGGCCAGAGCTGCGCCGCAGCCTCGGGCAAGACGCCGAGATGAGGAGGAGGAGGAGGAGGAGGAGGAGGAGGAGGAGGAGGAGGAGGAGGAGGCAGGAGGGTGGAGGGAGGGTGGAGGGGGTGGAGCTGCACAGTCGTGACGCCGAACTGGCGGCCAGCTCGGGCCCAGGAGCCTCTCTGGTTCCTGGGCCGCTCCCCGGCCTCACCTCGTGGAGGCTCTTCGTGGCCCGGCGCTGCTGTGGTCGCAAGAGCCCCCCCCCTCGTGGCGGCACGATGGCTGCCGGGGACCCGTGCCAGGCGGGACCGCCCCGCCCGCGCTCGCGGCCCGCGTGAGGGGGGTCGCGTCGCAGGTCGCGCAGCCGGGCCCCCCTCGGTGGCTGCGGGGGGGGGCCTGCCTCGGAGGGGGCGCCGCGCGCCCTTCCAGAGGCCCGCCCGCCTTCGAGGACGCCGCCCCGAGGCCTCCGGGGAGGCTCAGGGCGCCCCGAATCAGGGAGACCCCTCGCCTCGCGCGCGGCCGCTCGCCGACCCCCCTGCCCTTCCCCCGCCTTCCCTCCTGAACCTCCCCCTTCTCCTTCTTCCCTCCTCCTCCTCCTCCTCCTCCTCCTCCTCCTCCTCCATTTCCTCCTCCTCCTCCATTTCGTCGTCCTCCTCCTCCTCCTCCTCCTCCGCCCCGCCTTCGTTCTGCGACCACGGCGACATCCAGTCCCAGGGCTGCACTGGGACAGCCCCCATCCCGCTCCCCTTCCTCCATTCCTTTTTCATGTGAACAACTCCTCCCTGTCGCACCCCTAGGCAGGTCGGAAAGGACGGGCAGGGCGTTTCGCCTGGGACTTCTTACCATGTCTGATCCTGAAGTTTGAAGAGTGGCAGCAGTTTCACGAATGGAGGGCGGGCGGCTTTGAACATGTGACTCTCGCCTTCGCGCTGCGCACACTCGTCTCAACAACTTGCAAGAGTTTCGCGGATGGAGGGCGGATGGTTTTCAACATGCGGCTCTCGCCTTAGCGCCGCGCACACTCGTCTTAAACATGTGCAAGAGTTTCCAGGCTGTAGGGCGGATGGTTTTCAACATGTGGCTCTCGCCTGAGCGCCTTAGCGCCGCGCGCATTCGTGTAGAAATTTGCAACAGCTTCAAGGTGTGACGGCGGCTGGTGTTCAATATGTGGCTTTCGCCGTAGCCCCTCGTACATTCTCGCTTAAACGTGTACAATAATTTAGCGGATGTTGGGCGTGTCGTTTGTCGGAGGTTGGGGGGTGAGATCGAAGTGGAACGGAGAGCCCCCCTACCGGGAAATCGATTTCGGTTTCGTGTTCGTGCGTGCCGTGCGGGCGAGGCGAAGCTGCGTGGGCGGGCGAGAGAAAGTCTCCTGTGGCTGAGGCGCGGCCGGACCAAATGACTCCCTTCCGGGCGGCCGGGGGCCCGCGGTGTCCCGCCGGTGTCCCGCTGGTGTCCCGTGTGGCTGAGGCGCGGCCGGACCAAATGACTCCCTTCCGGGCGGCCGGGGCCCGCGGTGTCCCGCCGGTGTCCCGCGGTGTCCCGCGGTGTCCCGCGGTGTCCCGCGGTGTCCCGCGGTGTCCCGCCGGTGTCCCGCGGTGTCCCGCGAGGATGATGATGATGATGATGATGATGATGATGATGATGATGATGATGATGATGATGATGATGATGATGATGATGATGATGATGATGATGATGATGATGATGATGATGATGATGATGGGTGATCCCGATGAAGATGATGATGATGTTGATGATGGTGCGATGATGATGATAGTGTCCCGATGATGAGGATGATGATGCTCATGATGATTATGTTGATGATGATGACGATGATGGTGTCCCGATGATGATGATGATGATGATGATGATGATGATGATGATGATGATCCGATGATGTTGGTGATGATGATGTTGATGGAAATGGTGTCCCGGCGATAATGATGTTGATGATGATGATGTTGATGATGATTATGGTGTCCCGATGATGATGCTGATGATGATGATGGTGATGATGATGATGATGATGATGGTGATGCTGATGGTGTCCCGATGATGATAATAATGATAATGACGATGTTGATGATGATGATGATGATGATGATGATGATGATGATGTTGCTCATGATGATGATGGTGCCCCAATGATGATGATGATGTAGATGATGATGATGATGATGATGATGATGATGATGATGATGCTGATGATGTTGATGATGATGTGATGATCATGATGATGATGGTGTCCCGAGGATGATGACGATGTTGATGATAATGTTGATGATGAGAACGATGGTGATCATGATGGTGTTCCGATCATGATGATGATTCTGATGATGCTGCTGATGATGACGATGACTGTGTCCCGATGATGATGATGATGATGATGATGATGAGATGATGATGGTGATGATGATGCTGATGATGATGTTGTCCCGATGATGATGCTGACGTTGATGATGATGTTTATGATGATGATGATGATGACGGTGCCCTCATGATGATGACGATGTTGGTGATGATGATGATGATGATGATGATGATGATGCTGATGATGCTGATGATGATGATGGTGATGATGGTGATGATGATGATGATGATGATGATGATGATGCTGACGTTGATTGTGAGAGCGATTGTGATATCGATAGTGAGATCGATATTGAGACCGAATGTGAGATCGATTGTGTGATCGCTTGTGAGATCGATTGTGAGATCAATTGTGAGATCGATCGAATGAGATAGATCGAGTGAGATCGATTGTGAGATCGATCGAGTGAGATCGATCGAGCGAGACCGATAGTGAGATCGATACTGAGAACGATAGTGAGACCGATCGAGTAAGACGTTGGTTCCCCCCCCGCCCGAACCTCCTTATCACCCGAAGGGTGGTCGTATAGATAAAATATGGCTCTAGCCCTACCGCCGCGCACTGTCGTCTTACAGAATTGCAAGAATTTCATGGATTGAGGGCGGCTCATTTTCAATATATGGGGCTCCCGCCGTAGCGCCGCGCACATTCGGTTTAAACATGTGCAAGGGTTTCATGGATTCCCATGGTCAGCGTATCAGTAATAGTGTTGTGGAAGGATTCAGATTTGTCAGGGCGCAACAATTACGTTAATTCGTGGTGCTAAAGTCCCAGGCATGGCGTCCTGGCACGATTCAGGGTCGTCAGGACGACATAGTCAGGTTGATTCGTGGCGGCGGGGTCCCGAGAATGGTGTTTTGGCATGCTTCAGGATTTTCAACCGCCTTTCAGCTCTTGCAGATATCTTGGGCGCAAAGTGCAGTTTTCAGACCCTCACGGCAATGAGCTCGACAACAGGGTGGCCACCGCTTGGAAACAAATCTTTACGCTGAAACACGAACTGCTGGGGAAAGACTTTTCGCTAAACGACAGACTGCGACTATTCCATGGCTGCGTGCACCAACAGAGTCTACGGGTGTGAAGCTGGGACGCTAACGACAGCTTTGGAAAACCGCTTACAGAGAACTCAGCGCCATATGTTACGGATGATAATAAAGGGTAAACGTCGCCGGAACCAGCACGCCGACAACGACATCAGACAACAAACCAGCGACACAGACGCACCTAGAAACGACGCCAGAAACAATCCCAGCGAGCACGACGCCGACACAATCTGCGACGAAACCGTTCTTATTGAAGATGCAGAAGACATTCTGGAACTTTGGAGATTGGATCAAGCGTGCGACCACCGAGGCCCGCTTGCGGATGCAACAGCTCAATATCGAGGATTGGACAACCATACAACGGAAGCGGAAATTCCAATGGGCAGGACAAGTTGTTTGTGGACCAACCGGGAATTGGCAGAGGAAAATATTTTGGTGGAGACCCGACGACGACCAAGAAGGATCACCTCATAGTCGGCCTGGGCGCCAACAAATTCGATGGAGAGATGATCTACGTAAGTTGGTTATGGATTGCTGTGGGCATTTGGATTGGCTCCGCGTCGTTACCACGCTGGTGTGGGACGGAGTCCAGGACGCGTACGTTCAGTAGTGATACTGCCGGTCCTCCCTCCACCTCCTCTTCCTTCTCCTCCTCCTCCCGTGCGGCATTTCACATTGTTTCACACGCGTGTAGTTTAGCAGGCGCCTCGGCGCCCACTCCGTCGCGCCTTCATCGCGCCACGCGTGCGGAGCCGTAGCGTAGCCGTAGCCGTAGCCGTAGCAGGATCTTCAATCGGTTGTTTCCCGATGGGGCATTTTCCTCCGTGGAAGCGAATCCTGGTAGGGGTTCGTGCGGAGGGATCTTGGGCGAATTCCAACATCGTTGGTGCGTCTTGGGTTTGCACTGGTCCCCCTCCCCCTCCCCTTCCTCCTTCCCCTCCCTCCCCCCCTCCCCCCCCATCCCTCTTCCCCATCCCCTTGGCCCCTCCCCACGGGCGGCGACGAGGCGGCGACAGGGCGGCGAAGGCGAGAACGTAGCCGCCGAACCGACCCGCAGGTGCAGACGACGGGCGGCGACGACGTGGCGACGGGGCGGCGACGGCGAGATCATAGCCGCCAGTCCGATCCGCAGGCGCAGTTCCTTAGCAATCGACGAAGAACCCGTTAGTGCAAGCACATTTCATGTTCCTTTCTTTCTCTATCACCTTGTTTATTTGCATGTACACATTTGTTCATGCATGCGTATATGCGTGGATAGTTGTACGTATGCATGCATGTATGCTGCTATGTATGTATGTTTGTAATATAATATACAAAGTTGCATCTATTTCGATAAGTATGTATGCCCCCCCATGCATGCATGGATGCATGCATGCTTGTATACAATGCGTGTAACGTATGTATGCATGCATGTATGTTTGTACGCATGTATGTATGCATGCATGTTTGTATGCATGTATGCATGCACACACAGGAGCACTCAGATATCTATGTATGCAGTCATGCACGTATGTGTGCAGGTATGTATGTTTACTTGTATGCACAGTACGTAGTCTATGTTTGTATGTATCCATGGCTACATGTATGTATGTATGCCTGTCCATATGCAATATGCATGGATTTATGCATGCAAGTATGTGTGCATGCATGTATGTTTGTATATCGTATGCATGTATGTACGTACACACGTACGTATGGGTGTGTGCATATCTAGGCGTGTAAGCATGCATGTATGTGTGCATGATTGTATGAATACTCACGTGCATATTTGATGTACACAAATATATACATAAGCACATTTGTACACATACAGACATGCGAGCGTACACGCATACACGCATCCAAACATACCCACATACATGCATGCATTCATGCATGCATGCATACATACATTCATACGCACACGCACATCCACATACACATACACAGACACATACACATGCACATACGCATACCTACATATATAGACATCTACACACATGCACACATACACATACACATCGACACATCCACACATACATACATACATACATGCATACACGCATACACATATACATACAATCATACATACATACATGCATGTATGCTTACATGCATCCATACACAAACCTACATACACACAAGCATACGCACACTGCATACATGCCTACCTACCTGCCTACCTACCTACTTACCTACATACATACGTACACATACATACATACATACACACATACATACATACATACATACATACATACATACAGACACACATACGTACATGCATGCATGCATGCATGCATACATACATACATACATACATACATACGTACATACACACATACATATACACACACATACATACATACATACGTACGTACGTACGTATGCACGTACGTACGTACGTACGTACGTACGTACGTACATACATACATACATACATACATACATACACACATACATATTTGGTGGCCTTCGGGCCATCCCGCCACCGTGCATGGTTTGTGGGGCAGAGTTCTCAGGTATGCTTCTTCGGGTCTCTTCGGGCTGTCTCGGGGGCCTCTTGGAGCAGTTGCGGGGCCTCTTGGAAGCCTCTTCGGGGCCTCTTGGGAGCCTCTTAGGGCTTCTTGGTAGCCTCTTGAGGCCTCATGGGGGCCTCTTGGGGGCCTCTCGGGGCCGTCTTGGGGCCCTCTTGGGCCGGCCGTCTTGGGGCTCTCTTAGGGAGCCTTTGGGGCCGTCTTGGCGCGATGTTGGGGTTCTTGTGAGCCGTCTTGGAGCGTCGGAAAGCCGAAAAGGCGAGAAGGCCAAAGACCTTCAAAAATCGTATGGCAAATCAATGATTTTTGCCTCTGGGGGTCTCGCCTCTTGGGACACTCTTGGGACGTCTTGGTGGCCTCTTGGGCCGTGTTGAGGCCATCTTGTGCGTATTGGGGCACTCTTGGGCCTTCTCGGAGGCATCTTCGGCCCTCTTGGGCGCTATTTGGGCTTATGTTTGGCCGGCTGCGCTACCGCAGGACGCACGCGATACGACTCAGGGAATCCCCAGAAATCCCAGTGAACTCTGGGGAGTCCTTGTGAAACCGGTGGCCCAGACCCTCAAAACCTCATAGGACCCTACAACTCTGAATTCCTCAGGGCTGGGTGAGCCTGGGGGCACTCCACTTCGTGCTGGGCACGGCGGCGCGGTGCACATGGATGTCCCCGAGTGGCCGCCAGCTGCGCGTGGCGCGCCCCCGACCGCCCGCGAGTTCGCAGGCGCTGATGAGCCTCTATCTCAGCAAGCCCTCCATCCCGCCCGCCCAGCTGCAGGCGCTGAAGGAGGCCCCCTCACCCCGCGCCGCGCGCGCGCGCCCGACCGAGGACCGGATCGAGGGAGGATCGAGGAAGGATCGAGGACCGAGGTGTTCGGACGCTTCCGTTGCTGCTCCCGATCATTCTGGCGATCCGAGGCGGCCCGATGCTTGCATGGCGCTGCACATCCGTGCCGATGCACGTCGACTTCGTGCCGATGCACATCGATTCGATCTCGACTCCGTGCCGACGCACGTCGATCCGACGCACACTCCGATTCGACATGATTTTCCCCTGGGGCGGGGTCGACGCCTGTCGGCGGCGAAGTCCGAACCCTATAGTCAACCCGTGTATCAAGGCAAGGATCGCAGGCCTAGAGGTTGAGACCAACGCCAATAGCGGCGGTGTGCCTCCACCGAGGGAGGAAGATCCCGATCTCGGTGATGGTGGTACCATTCTGGCTTCCAAGGTGACCGAAGTATTGCCACCAACACCGAAATCGAGGATCATCTTCCCCCTGTGGAGGCAACCCCCTGTGCTGGTGTTGGGGCCAATTCCCAGGCCTCCAAAAGGATGCAAGGGGTACCCTTGGGGAGGCTGCCCATCCTTGCTGTTGTGGGCAGACCTGTGCCCTCTCGGCCACGCGCAGCTTTGACGCCGCAGCGCGGCAGGGGCGATCCGCGCTCGCGCGCTCCAGTGGCCCAGGGCGCGTGGCGTACGAATGAGCAGGGCTGGACCTAAACGGTGTCTTGGCGATTTCGTGGGCCGTTTTCGTTTCGATGTCGTTTTGCAGCAAAGGCGAACTCAAGACAAAACTAGGAACAACGAAACAAAACGAAAACGAAAAACACTGTTTAGGTCCAGCCCTGCGCAAGAGCTGGCAACAGGAATCGGCGGCGAGCGAGGGGGGGAAACGGGAAGGAGGAGGCCTCCTCAGAAGGCGGCGGGACTTCTCAGAAGCCCTCGCGCCTCCCGAGAAAGACTTCTCTCGGCAGGCCCGGGGACTTCCGAGCCTTCCGAGAAGGCCCGCCCCGTCCCATTTCCCCCCCCCCTGGCGCGCCGCCAAGAGAGAAGCAGGAAGAGGGCGGCCGCAGAAAGCTTCCGAATTAGAAGGAGGCTGCTTCTCAGAAGGCGTGGGCTTCATCTGTAAATGTAAGGCCGGCGCCTTCTAAGAAGCAGCCTCCTTCTAAGAAGCCTTCCCCCCTCCCCTACCCCCCTTTCCCTTTGCGCGCCGCCAGTCGTCGTCGATCAACGACTCAGGCAACTCCATGGGCGGCGGGGGCCAGGGTAGGGTTCGGGGTTCGTCGGACGCGCGGCGAAATCCGAACCCCACCCCCGCCTCCCATCGATTCACGAGAAGCGATGGCTGGTGGGGGTTGGGTTCGGATGTCGCCACCTGGCTTGACACCCGAGCCAGAGATCGTCACCGAGAAAGTTTGGTCTTACTGCATCTTCAGCTTCCCAGGTTCCCTCCGGGCCCAGAGCACGGGAGCGTCAGCAAACTGCTCGGGACGAGTCCGTGTCCCTTTCGGCTCAAGCGAGTGTTCTACGCCCGAGGCCTTCCGAGCAGTCGCAGAGACAGCTGCCTCCGATTGGGAAGCCATGCGCGAGTTGGTGCACATCCAGGGTGGCCAGTGCGGCAACCAGATTCCTCTCGCTTCGCGGGGTGCACGTCCGGAGCACGTACAGTCACGTCGTCGCCGAGCCTCTTGGGAGCCTCTTGGGGGCCTCCTGGAGGCCTCCTGGGAGTTTCCTTGGGCCTCTTGGGGACTTTTTGGGGGCCTCTCCCCCCCTTTTTTTCATACTCTCTCCTCATATTTCCTTCCAGCGCCGGCTCTAATCATGGGCGCCGCTGTGACCAACTTCCACCTGGCTGGCGCTGCGCCGCAGTTCACCCAGGTTGGAAAAATGACATTGCACTCCAGTCGCTGTGTGGCCTTTGGGGGGCTTCTTTGGAGCCTTTGGGAGGCTTCTTGAGGACATCTTGGAGGCCTCTTGGGGGTTTTGGGGGGCCCCTTGGGGGCTTCTTGGGGGCCTCTTCGGGCATCTTGGGGGCGTCTTTGGCCGTATCGGGGCGCTTTTGCGCCGTTTCGCCCCTTCGGAGGCCGTCTTGGGGGCCTCTCGCGGCCGCCTTGGGGCCCTCTTGGGGTCCTCTTGGGCCGTCATAGGGGCCTCTTGGACCGTCTTGGGGGCCTCTTTGTGCCGTCTTGGGGTTCTGTTGGGCCGTATTGGGGCCTTCTTGGGGGCTTCTTGGGTTGTTCTGGAGCGATTTGGAAAGCTGCTTGGGCCGCAAAGGCGAGAACGCTAAAATAGTGCCCAAACCATGGGAAAATCAATGATTTTGGCCTCTGGGGGCGCAGTTGTGGGCGCTCTTGGGGCCATCTTGGGCCGTCATTGGGTTTTTTTCCCCACATGCTTCGTGGGGTTCTGGTTTTCTTCCCTGCCGCGCCGCGCCCGCGTCTCCCCCACACCCGCCCTCCTCCCCTCCTCCTCCTCCTCCTCCTCCTCCTCCTCCTCCTCCTCCTCCTCCTCCTCCTCAGCGCAGCGCAGCACAGCACAGCAGACCGCAGCACAGCATAGGACAGCACAGCACAGCTCAGCAGAGCACAGCACAGCACGTCTCGGCGACACGCGTCTACATACAGCCGCACGCATGCACACACTCGCACACACAAGACGACACCAGTCCTGGCATAGCAGGCGTGGCACTTTCTCGACACCATAGGGGGTGCGCAGGGGGTGGTCTCTCGCTGCGGTCTCTATACGCCCCAGTCGTCCTGCTATAGCAGGCGTGGCCCCAGTCGTCCTGGCATAGCAGGCGTGGCACTTTCTCGACACCATAGGGGGTGCGCAGGGGGTGGTTTCTCGCTGCGGTCTCTATACGCGCCGGTCGTCCAGGCATAGCAGGCGTGGCACTTTCTCGACACCATAGGGGGTGCGCAGGGGGTGGTCTCTCGCTGCGGTCTCTATACGCGCCGGTCGTCCAGGCATAGCAGGCGTGGCACTTTCTCGACACCATAGGGGGTGCGCAGGGGGTGGTCTCTCGCTGCGGTCTCTATACGCGCCGGTCGTCCAGGCATAGCAGGCGTGGCACTTTCTCGACACCATAGGGGGTGCGCAGGGGGTGGTCTCTCGCTGCGGTCTCTATACGCGCCGGTCGTCCAGGCATAGCAGGCGTGGCACTTTCTCGACACCATAGGGGGTGCGCAGGGGGTGGTCTCTCGCTGCGGTCTCTATACGCGCCGGTCGTCCAGGCATAGCAGGCGTGGCACTTTCTCGACACCATAGGGGGTGCGCAGGGGGTGGTCTCTCGCTGCGGTCTCTATACGCGCCGGTCGTCCAGGCATAGCAGGCGTGGCACTTTCTCGACACCATAGGGGGTGCGCAGGGGGTGGTCTCTCGCTGCGGTCTCTATACGCGCCGGTCGTCCAGGCATAGCAGGCGTGGCACTTTCTCGACACCATAGGGGGTGCGCAGGGGGTGGTCTCTCGCTGCGGTGTCTATACGCGCCGGTCGTCCAGGCATAGCAGGCGTGGCACTTTCTCGACACCATAGGGGGTGCGCAGGGGGTGGTCGCGCCGGTCGTCCAGGGCAGGCGTGGCACTTTCTCGACACCATAGGGGGTGCGCAGGGGGTGGTCTCTCACCGCGGTCTCTATACGCCCCGGTCGTCCAGGGCACACCAGGCATGGCACTTTCTCGACACCATAGGGGCTGCGCAGGGGGGGTGTTTTTTTCACCGCGGTCTCTATACGCCGCGGTCATCCAGGCACAGCAGGCGTGGCACTTTCTCGACACCATAGGGGATGCGCAGGGGGTGGTCTCTCGCCGCCGTCTCTATACGCGCCAGTCTTCCAGGGCACACCAGGCATGGCATATTCTCGACACCGTAGGGGGTGCGCAGGGGGTGGTTTCTCACCGCGGTCTCTATACGCCCCGGTCGTCCAGGCACAGCAGGCGTGGCACTTTCTCGACACCATAGGGGTGCGCAAGGGCTGGTCTCTCACCGCGGTCTCTATACGCCGCAGTCGTCCAGGCACAGCAGGCGTGGCACTTTCTCGACACCGTAGGGGGTGCGCAGGGGGTGGTCTCTCACCGCGGTTTCTATACGCCCCGGTCGTCCAGGCACAGCACGCGTGGCACTTTCTCGACACCATAGGGGGTGCGCAGGGGGTGGTCTCTCACCGCGGCCTGTATACGCCCCGGTCGGCACAGCACGCGTGGCACTTCCTCGACACCATAAGGGGGTTGTCCCTCAGCGCGACCGCTATGCGCCTTTGTCGTCCCGGGCACAGCATGCGTGGGACTGTCTCGACATTAGAAGGGGTGCGCAGGGGGTGGTCTCTCACCGCGGCCGCTATCCGTGACGGTCGTCCAGGGCACAGCAGGCATGGCATATGTTCGACACCATAGGGGGTGCGCAGGGGGTGGTCTCTCACCGCGGCCGCTATCCGTGACGGTCGTCCAGGGCACAGCAGGCATGGCATATTCTCGACACCATGAGGGGGTGCGCAGGGGGTGGTCTCTCACCGCGGCCACTATCCGTGACGGTCGTCCAGGGCACAGCGGTGTCGGCGGGGCAACGGCCACGAACATCATTCTCACATGCTTCACTTCAGCTCTCATCACTCCAGCCATAATATAAGTATGTGGGGTTCCTCGGTAGCGTAATTGGGCCCTCTTGGGGCCATCTCAGACCGTGTCGGGGCCGTCTTGGCCCGCACAGAGCCCATCTTGAGCCGTCTTGACGCCCTCTTGGCCCCCCAAGAGGCCCAAGAGGTCGAAATCATCGATTTTCTATAGGATTTGGTAGGTTTTTGAGACCCGGCAGGGGGGGGGTCATCTTGGTCCGGCGGTGTGGCGCAGCTCCCAGGGGGGGTTAGGGGGGGAGACATAATGATGTAACTCAATACAACATGTGGCAAATATGCAATCATTGGATATATTGGATACGTTGCAGTAAGGCGTTCGCCGAAAAACGCTGCCGCTCAGCACGTCACCTCCGGACGTGGATTCCTGGGCCTGCGCCAC